TTCTAGTTGCCGCTTGGATTCCTGTGGGCTCCCGTGAAATCTTATTGCTTCGCTTGGGCTCCGATGGTTTCCTATGGCTTTCCACCTCGCTGGACCTGTCTATAACAATCTGTCTGGTGAGCGCTTCCATTTTTATTCACATGGGTTCCTAGGACTTCTCTTGTATTCCTCTAGGTGCCTACGGATGCCACTGGCTTATCTTTGCACCGGCCGTGTCTGTCGCAATTTCTTATGGCGGCCACTTGGACTCCTATGAGGGCGTATGCGCTCTCATGGCTTCGCTTGGATTCCTATGCACCCTTTTGGTTTGCCACGGCTTCCCCTCCACTGCACAATCAGGATTGCACGCCGCACTTCTGCTGGTCTTAGCTGCCCTGATTCGCAATGCGCAATTTGGATCGCGTTGACCTGAGGCTCAACGCGTGGGTTCAAATCGCGAATCTGGCTGCACACATTCGCCAAGACGAATTTCAGGCCACTGCCGCGAACGAAACCCACGCACAACTCGCAACACGTGGGATACACCCGCAATGGATTCCAATACGAGGCCCTCCTCCTCCTCCTCCGCTTCCTCCTCCTCCTTCTCGTCCTCCTCCTCCTCCTCCTCCTCTTCCTCCTCCTCTTTCCCAATCGGCGGCCACATCCGTTGCGACCAGCGACCCCGCGACTGGGAGACGAGACGGCCCGCCATCGGGGGGCTCACCGTGCGCCTGCCTCTCTTCCCCGACTTATCTACCTCCTTTTTCTCCTCCTGGACCTCCCGCTCATCCTGCTCCGCCTTCCTCCTCTTTTTTGGGGGGGCATACGTCCGGGTCGTGCGGAACGAGCGGAGTCGCGTCCGGGCACGGCGGCGTCGGCACCGGATCGATCAGAGTCGGAGTAGAGCTCGTCCGGATCACGCGCCTCCAACGACCGCCCTGCTCGCGCCGCAGCCCGGAGGCGGCTCACCGTGGACGATCGCCTGGCACTTCGGCCGCCCGCCTCGTCGGCGTCGCAGGCGGGCTCCTCGAGCCCAGCACCGCCGCGGCTGCCGCGGCTGCTCGAGGCCTGCCGACTGGAGTGTCGGCACCGCCCTCCTCGCCAGCGTCGTTGACGGGTTCCTCGAGCCCACCTTCGCCGCGGCCGCGGCGGCGCCGCGCACCGAACAGCGACGATCGCCCAGAACTTGAGCTGCGGCCGTGGCGGCGGCACCGATCGAGCAGCGGCGATCCTCCAGAGCTTCGGCTGCTCCTCTCGTCGGCGTCACACGCGGGCCACTCGAGCCCACCACCGCCGCGCTCAGCGCAGGCGCAGGCCCGGCCACAGGTCGCGGTTGTTGAAGATCTCGCTGAGGGCGGCATGGGCCTGCCGAGCCGGGTGTGGCGGGCAAGGGGCCGCGCGCGATGGCGGGCGTGGCTCAGCGCGGCGGCGGCGGCCCGCTTCCCCGCGGCGCGCTCGTCCGGGCGCGGCGCGGGTCACCGGCCGCACCGGGGCCAGCAGACCACCTCCGCCCCGGCCGCCCGCGGCGGCTCGCTCGCGGGCGCCCCGGCAACGCTCGGCCACGGCGTCGGGGCCCGTCGGGGCCCGTCGGGGCCGACCAGGCCGCAAGCCCCGGCGGGCAGCAGCTCCTGCAGGGACCGCGGGCCGGGCTCCGCCCCGAAGCGGCCGGAGAGCCGCCGCCGCCGCCGCAGGGCGGCGTCCTCGGGGCGCCCAGCGGCCCGCCGCGCCACTGGCACCTGCGGTTGCGCCGCCGTGGGCTCGTCGCTCGCGACGACGCCGGCGGGCAGCAGGGGCCGCTGCTGCAGCTCGAAGTCCATGTCGGGGAGCACGAGCGCCAACGCCGGGGCCAGGCGGACCTTGCGCCTGCACAGCGGGCAGCTGCTGGAGCTCCGCGACCAGGAGCGCGGGTGGAAGGCGTGCCGGCACCCCAGGAGGCCTCAGACGCCGCTCGGGCCCCTGCTGGGGCAGATGGCGCAGCACCAGCTTCTCCTCCGCGTCGGCAGCCATTGCAGCATCACTGGGCAACGGGCCACCCCGCGCGCACAAGCCCCCGCGGGCGCTCACCTCCCCGACGTCCTTCCGGGCCGCGCTCGGCAGGTCCCGCTCCACCACCCTCCAGGCCGCCTCGCCTGGCCCGACCGCTGTGACCAGCTCGGGCACGCTGGCGCGGAACGAGAGCGGGCCCGCGGGCTCGGGGCCAGACCCGGCCGCGCCCTCCTGCAGCTGGTCCCACCGGCGCGCCGCCGAGCGCGCCCCGATTGCCGCGCTCCCGGTCCTCGGCCGCGACGATGCGCCGCCACTCCTCCACCTCTGGGCCCGTGCCGCAGGCGCTGCCGCGGCCAGTGCCCCCGCGGCCATCTGTGCCGTGCTCTCCACCGCGCGGCGGCTTCAGCCTCGAGGGCAGCGCGGCGCGGATCTGCAGGGACCGCGGCACGGCACCGGCCGGCAGACCGTGGACGCCCAGGCTCTGTTACAGGCACCTCAGCTGCTCTGGCCAGGTCGCTAGCAAGAGATTGCAGAAAGGGCGCTCCTCCGTCTTCAGCTCGGCCACGGGGAACGGCATGTCGTTGCTGGACAGGCCGCTGGCGGGCATGGTGCTGCGGGACTCGTCGTTGCCGGCAAGATCCTCAGCATGGCGGGTGCCTGTCCGCCTCGGCCAGCCTGTTGAACTCCGCGCGGTCCCCCTCCGACAGGCCCTTCCACTCCGCGCCGATCATCACAGAGAGCTGCGTGCGGTTCTTCTGCGGGTACTCGCTCTGCAACTCCTCTGGCCGACGCTTGCTCGCATAGAACATGTACGCCGACTGAATGCGCCTCACCGCCATGTTGCCGCTTGGCTTTGGGGCCAGCCCCGCCTGTAGGGATACCTTGCGCCAAGGCCCCGATGTGCGAGAAAACGCCCTGGTGAGAACCAGATGGCTGACTCGATGTCTGAGCAGGAAAAGCTTGAGCCAACATGGCTACGGTGCCGCCTTCCTCCTCATCCTCCTCCTCGTCGTCTTCCTTGTCCTCCTCCTCTGCCTCCTCCCTTGCTCGCCTCATTTTCCTTTTCCTGTTCTCCTTCTCCTCCTCCTCCTCCTCCTCCTCCTCCTCCTCCTCCTCCTCCTCCTCCTCCTCTCATCCGCCCCCCCTGGGCCATTGAACACCTCCCTGAGTCTAGGTAGCACCTGCTGGATCCACATACCACCTCCCAGGGCCTATACAACACCTCCCCTGGGCTCAGACAACACCTCCGTTTGCGCATAAAACGCCTCCCCTGGGCCCACATGACACCTCCCCGGGCCCAGTGTCACGGCAGGCCCCCGGCGCACATTACGCCTCACTGGGCCCATATGACGCCTCCCCGGGCCCATATAGCACCTCCATAGGCCACTGCAACGCCTCCCTAGGCCCTTATAACACCTCCAGGGGCCCGTACAACACATCCCTGGACCCGCATATCACCTGTCCTGCCCGCATAACACTTCCTCGGGCCCGTATGACACATCCCTGGCCCATACAACACCTCACAAGGCCTGCAACACCTGCCTGGCCCATGTATCACTTCCCAAGGCCCGTACAACACCAATCTGGGCCCTGAACATATCAAAGCCACTTCGTATTCCACCATGATCCTTGGACGGTTAGTCCAAACCCCTGGGATCTCCACCCAAAGCCACTGAACTGTTCATGGGCTTCCCGAGGTCCACATGTGCCCCCTAAGACTCCTATGATCCCTGTGGCGGCCAAACCGAGGTCCAACGCAGACCCCAACACGGAGCACGGCACGGAGCCCCCAAACAGACCGTGTGTTGAGGCACCGCGCAACGTTTTCAACCCGGAGCGACCGCGTTGCGATTGTTTCCAGCGCCGCCGATCAAAAGTGTTCAACCTGTGGAACGTTCTGATCAAAAGCATGTCTCGTTTCAGCCTGGTCGTCCTGGGGCAGTTGAGGGCCCAGGGCCGCATGTATTCCTGTGGCCTCGCTCGGGCTCCTATAGCGCATCCTTGCACTGGCTGTGCTTACTCGATGGCGCCATAATCAGAGCAAACACAAAGGCATGAGGAAGAGCAGGGGGTGGTAAAACTCTGCCATCAAGGCAACAGCATATATGAACTGAGGTTGAAACGTACGTCACATACAACATGTGCACGGCCCAATGGTACACGTAGCAAGCGGGTACTAGAAACGTGTTTTGAACACTTTGCGTCAATCATGCAAACGTCAGATGGTTGCCATGATCGATATTCATGCCGTGATCGTTTGCCTTGCCGCTGCTGAACAAATCAACGCCAGAACGAGACATCAGGAAGACACTATGCCGTCCTGTGATCCTTCACTGCGGTGGAATATGAGAACCATCAACTTATTCAATTTGTTCTTACTGTTCAATGCTGGAACGGGAGAGGGGGGGCAACCGTGCAATATGCCACGCCGAAGTCCGAGAGGGATTGCACATGACGTATGTAACGCTAGTGCCGCGTTTTTGCTCCCGAATCCAAGGTGAGCGACACGAGTACGAACCTGCTTAAACCTGCAGGCAAAGGGATGGATATCTGTACACAGCGTATTCAACAATCCAGAAAACATGGCCGATTGGATGCGGAGTCTCGTCCGCAATGCCAGATCGGACCCACAGATGCAACTCATACTCCAACTTCGCTTTCCCCCCCCGTGGCTGCAAAGGTAGACAGCCCCTCTGAGCAGAGTCAGTTCAAGTGCTGCCTATTGTTGCAGCACCAGCGGGCAAGAGTCAACAGTGAGACGTCGGCAGCTACGCCCTTGCTGCGACAACTTAGCACGTTCATCGCGGCTTGCCCTCTGCACCATGACGCAGCATGAGCCAATGAAAACGAGGTCGCGGCAAGCTAACCTCTGTAAAATACAAGGTCTGCGTTAGCAGACTGCATGTAGGATGAAGTGGCCCATCGGCGTCATCAGACTGCGAATCGTGAATTGTGAAGACTGGGCTCTTCTCTCATCTCCCTCCGCCTTGCCATCCTCCGAACCCGCTGAAGACCTCTTCGAATCCAAGGCCGCCTCACGCCGCCATGGCTCGCTGGGAGGAGCTGGTGGAGTACTTCGAGTCCCCCCTCTGCGAGCTGCCAGAAGCCTGGCGAGGGGGCCGGCGGCGTCGAGGAGGCGCGGGCATCTCCGAAGGCTTCTGGCATGGCTCGAAAACCAGTGCGGCCGATTCTTCGCGGCCTGGGCCTATAGTATTCGGGTCCCAGCGGCCACGAGAGCACAACCCGCGGCACGACGTCCACGCGAAATATGTGGTCGGGAGCTCCAGACACCCACGTGAACAAACTATCCATGGACGTACCCAACCACTTCTAAACAAAATGCGACTATGAACGAGACCGCTCAACACAACAAACCACAAAGAGAGATCTGCAATGCCCTTAACCGCTTTGCCAAAGAACGCTGGACCACAATACCCATCATGTACGCACGCACTCTTGCGATTCAAGTCGCAAAGATGACGACGAGCCGGCAAAGGACCAGGAGGACGGGGGCAAAGGGAGGAGTGGCAGCCCCCCAGGGAGGCCCCTGAGGAGCTCCCGAAAGTGGCGACAGATGCGCAGTTGGCAGCCCCCCAGGGAACGCGAGGGTGAGATTGGATCTACGCTCACGAATGTGGCGACATGCGTGGGATTGGTTGCAAGGAAGCACGGAATCAAGTCTGGAAAACCGTGTCCCCACCCCTCAGCTGGGACTCCCAAGAGCTCATGAACACTGTGGGAGTTGCGCACTTGGCAGCCTCCCGGAAGTGAAGACAGTCGCGCAGTTGGCAGCCTCCCACGGGAGCACGAGGTCTAGTCTGGATCTGCGTGCCCCCCGCTTAGCTGGGGCTCCCGGGAGGTACTGAAAGTGGCGACAGATGCGCAGTTGGTCTCTCCCCAAGGACGAAGTGACATCTGGATCTGCGTGTCCCCCACTCCGCCGGGCCTCCTTAGGGTAGTGGAAGGAGGAGGAAGCCGAAGTAACCACCATTCAGGTGATACGTGTGTGTGTGTGTGTGTGTGTGTGTGTGTGTGTGCAGTGTGCGGCTTGCGATTTGTGTCGGATCGGATTCGCGATCAGTCGACCGATCTCGATATCCATCCATCCATCAATCGCACTACCAAACCGTATCGACACATGTAGACACTTATATCTGCCGGTACCACTATGATCAAGTGAATATCCGAACACACTAGTTGACATACGATCGATTTTTTGTTCGGTATCATTATCCCTACATCGATACCGCTCTACATAGTCTGGTCGATTCCGACATAGAACATGTATGACTATCTATCGGTCTCGCTATCAACCTACCAATCCCACTACACATGTCTAGATCGATCACAATATCTATATTTATCCGTCTCACTATCCGTGTGTATGCGAGACAACCACGGGACCACCACGCGACAAACACAGGACAACCGCGAGGCAATCGCGGGACAACCACGGGACAACCATTTAACTACCTATTGGTCCACATATTTTTTTTTACTGGCTTCACTATCAATAGAGTGGTTGATCTCACAACCTGCCTATATCACAACAGATCTGTCGTCTTTTATTATCAGTCGATCGGTCTCACTATTCACAACCACAAACAATCAAACGCCAACCATTGGACATCCACGGGACAACCACGCGACAAACACGGGACAACCGCGGGAAGATCGCGGGATAATCAATGGACAAACACGGAACTGCACAAAACAACAACGGGATAATCGCGGGATAACCGCGGGACAACCGCGGGACAACCACGGGACAACCACAAGACAACCATCGGGACAACCACGCGACAACCGCAGGACAATCGCGGACCAACCATGGGACAACCACGGGACAACCCCGGGACGACCGCGGGACAAACCCGCTCACGCCCTGGACGCTCACGATTCACTTTGGCGCGATCTGGGTCTAGCTAGTGCAAGAACTCGCCTCGCGTGCGCGCGCGACACTATCCACAACCGAAACCGACTTCCCGGTTGGCTACTGATTTCCTGATGATTCTTGGGGTAGTCCGAAGGGTTCCTTAGGCATTCCAAGCGTTTTCGAAATTCCAGAGGGGCCCCTAAGACATCCGTAGGGTCACTTTGGAGCTCCTTCGGGTATCTCAAATGCATGGGACTCCCCGCGGAATCTTTCGGATCCCCATGGGAATTTTCAAGATCCCTGAAGACATCGGGATGGTTCGTTAATGTCGGGGGCGCGCAAACATGGATTAGCGATCCATGGACTTGGCGCGCGGTCGCCAGATCCATGGATCGGGCGAGGTGCCCTCCCCAAAATGCGGCCGGTGCCGCCCCGCTCGGCGGCGGAAATCCGCGATTTCCCATGGAAACGGGACCCGTCGCTAATCCACGCCCCCTTAATGCATGTTTGCGATACAGTCAACCCGCACAGTAAGGATGGGCAACCTTCCCAAGGGTACCCTTGCATCCTTGCCTCCTCGGTCCATCCTTCGCCGCTTTCGCTGGCCGCGCCCCGCTCGGAAAGCTTCGAAATATGCGTCCAAGGCCCTTGCATCCTTATCGCGCATCCTTACTATACTGGTTGACTGTAATATACTTTCGGGGGGCAGAAAGCGCATCGGAGGGGAGATTCGCCCCCTCCGCCGGCGACGGGTCAGCGTGCACCGCCACGAGGGACGGGCGTCCGCAGCTGTTCTCTGCGCGAGGAAGCCTGGAAACCAGAGCAACCCCTGACTACTCCTACTCGCGCCTCCTGCGTTTGTGTGTGTGTGTGTGTATTCTTAGTGCGGGTACGTCCTGCAACATGTGTACATATATTCTTAGTGCGGGTACGTCCTGAATTATGTGTGTATTCACAGTGCGCCTGCGCTTTGCTTTCCAAGGCGGGGCGCGGCACACAACATCCGAGCTGCAGGGGCCGCAGGACCCGAACACTCCACAACGAGGAGCAGGAGGAGGATACTGAAGATGATGCTGATGCTGATGCTGATGGCAAGGAGAACTGCTGATGCTGACGCTGATGGTGATCACGACGAGCAGGAGCGGACGGGGAGGTAAAAGGCAACGAGAAGGGGCATGAGGCGGAAGAAGACGAGGAGGATGAACGGGAGACTGAGGAGGAGGGGGGATCACGAGATGGAGGAGCAGGAGGACGACGAGGAGCACGCTCAGCTTCACATGATGTGCAATGGCATACCTCGTCATATACTCCATTGGTGAGGCCACGCGCTCTCTGGCGGCCCCTCTGGGTCTGTCCGTCTACCTCGGCAACGAGATATTGTCCCCAAACTGCTCGTTTCAACACCTCCTCCTCCTCCTCCTCCTCCTCCTCCTCCTCCTCCTCCTCCTCCTCCTCCTCCTCCTCCTCCCTCCTACTCGGTGCGCACGGACGCTACGTCCGCCGAGAGGAAACACGTGATGGTGATGATGATGAGGGGCAGAGATGGGCGGGCCCGCCTTCGTCTCGGCGAAGGCGACGTCGTGTGGCCCCCGCACGGCGGGCTGCGAAGGCGCCATCGGGGGCACCGCGAGCAGGCTGTCCACCTCGGACCCAGGACTGCAACGGCACAACACACCGCACTCGACCCCTTGAGTCTCAAGGCCGACAGCCAGGCCAGCTGGCCTCAACAGAGACGAAACAGAACACGGATGAATCATCCGCGTGCGGCTCAGGTGCGTGCGATCAGAACTCCAGCTATGTTTTCACCCACCGACCTGGGCGTCAATTTGCATTTTCACTCTACCGAGCCCCGAGCACCACTCAATCTATGGCTCTGGCTATACCAGCCCAGTGAACTGCACATGATGACCGAAAGAGGTGCTCTCGCCACAACGCAAAGACCTAAGAACCATGATCGCGCTTGCACAGCCACGAAATCCCACCAGCCCTTTTGGGCGTGAGTGGTTTAGGGAGCTTTCTCTGTTCTCAACCCCCCAACCCCCCTTCTTCCCCTTCGGGGAGGGGTTTACCCCTCCCCCTCCCCCCTCCCCCTGGGCCTGGACAGGGAGCCCCGGGTGTTCTCAAGGGGGCCTTTTTCGACTCCTGGGAGGGCCAAACAACGACGACCCTCACGAAGATTCTGGCCCCCAGGGGGGGGGGGAGTTTGGCGCCTCTACTCCTCTTCGAAGCAGAAATCATTGATTTTAGTAGGGTTTTGGCCCCATTTTGGACTTCTGCGGGGGCCGCGCTCATCGTCCTTCCTAGCAAAATCATTGATTTTACGAAGGTTTTGGCCTCATTTTGTACTTCTCAGGGGGCTGCTCTACTTTGCGCTTCTGAGGAGGTCGCAAGAGGCCCCAAGATGGCCCCAAGAGGCCCCCAGGAGGCCCCCAAGAGGCCTCCAAGAGGCCCCCAAGAGGCCCCCAAGAGGCCCCAAGAGGCCCCCAAGAGGCCCCCAAGAGGCCCCCAAGAGGCCCCCAGAGGCCCCCAGAGGCCCCCAAGAGGCCCCCAAGAGGCCCCCAAGAGGCCCCCAAGAGGCCCCAAGAGGCTCCAAGAGGTCTCCAAGAGGCTTTACGAGGAGCCCGAACGACTCACACCAGGACGAGGGGCCCCAACAAGTCACACCACGAAGAGCCCGAACGACTCACACCACAAGGAGGGGCCCGAACGACTCACACCAGCACGAGGCGCCCGAACTACTCACACCACGAGGAGCCCGAACGACTCACACCACGACGCGGGCCCCCAACGACTCACACCACGGGAAGCCCGAACGAGTTACACGAGGAGGAGGGGCCCGACCGACTCACACACAAGGAGAGGACTCATACTACGAGGAGCCCGAACGACTCACACATAATGAGGGGCCCGAAGGAGTCACGCAAGGGAGGACGAGGGGCCCCAACGACTCACCTCACGAAGAGCCGGAACGACTCACATATCTGCAACGCACACAGACGCGAACTCTCGCATTATCTCTGGAGGCCCTCCCGTGGCACTGCAAACCTGCACGTTTCGGGGAGGCCTTCTTCCTGCTTCGTTTTTTCTTTTCCCTTCTTTGATGGGCAAGGGCGGGAGCGCTTCAGCCAGCACGTTGCGTAACGCACGACGCGCCTACTGCGCGCGAGCGCGCTAGAGGAACATCGGCGGTTCGTCTTCCAGGCCTGGCGAGGGCCCCATCGACCTCCTCACAAAAAATCGCGAAACCTCTCACCCCCTTGGCAGCGAGGGACAGGGTGCCCTAATTTCGCAAAGGGGGCGACATCGTGCAAATACAAGCTCGGCAGTGGCGCGTGTCTGCGGCAGTCCGCGGCGGCAACCGTACCTGCATGTCCTCGAGCGTTCGCCGCCACAGCGCTGCTGCCACGAGGGCGGGGCCAATGGGGCAAGGAGTGAAACATGCATCTCAACAACAAGTGGCCGATATAAACTACTCTATGTTTCGTCCCCATTTCGGCGTTCGGAGGGACAGCGCTCCTCTTCCTTCACAGCACAATCGTTGCTTTTACGCAGGTTTTGGGTTATTCTGTCCTTCTCAGGTGCCAGCGCTCATTCGCGCTTCAGAGGGATCGCACGAGCTCCAAGCTCGCTCCAAGGACTCCCAGGAAGCTCCCAAGAGGCCTCCAACACGCCCCCAAGAGGCTCCCAATAGAACCCACGAGGCCCCCAAGAGGCCCCCAAGAGGCTCCCAAGAAGCGCTCATTTCTGCTTCTGAGGACGTCGTGGGAGGCCCCAAGATGGCCCCACCCCGAGAGCCTCCAAGAGGCCCCCAAAAGGCCCACGAGGAGGCCGAACGACTCACCCCAGGACGAGAGGCCCCAACGACTCACACCACGAGGGGCCCGAACGACTCATACACCAGGGGGGGCCCGAGCGACGCGCGCCAGGACGAGCGGCCCCAACGACTCACACCACGAGGAGCCCGAACGAGTCACACGCAAGGAGGCGCCCGCACGACTCGCACCAGGACGAGGGGCCCGAACGACTCACACCATGAGGAGCCCGAACGATCCACACACAAGGAGGGGCCCGAACGAGGCGCGCCAGGACGAGGGTCCCGAACGACTCACACCACGGGGAGCCCGAACGACTCACACACAATGAAGGGCCCGAGGCACTCACACAAGGAAGGACGAGGCTCCCAAGAGGCCCCCAGGAGGCCCCAAGAGACCCCCAAAAGGTTCCCAAAAGGCCCCCAAGAGGCCCCCAAGAAGCCCCAAGACGCGTCAAGAGGCCAAGAGGCCCCCACGGGACGCCCAAGAGGCCCCCAAGAGGCCCCGAGAGCCTCCAAGAGGCTTCCACGAGGCCCCACGAGGAGACCGAACGACTCACCCCAGGACGAGGGGTCCCAACGACTCACACCACGAGGAGCCCGAACGACTCACACACAAGGAGGGGCCCGAGCGACTCATACCAGGACGAGGGGCCCGAACACCTCCCACCACGAGGAGCCCGAACGACTCGCACACAAGGAGGGGCCCGAACGACCCACACCAGGACGACGGGCCCGAATGACTCACACCACGAGGAGCCCGAACGACTCGCACACGAGGAGGAGCCCGAACGACGCACCAAGGACGAGAAGCCCGAACGACTCACACCACGAAAGCCCCCAAGGACTCATGCACAACGAGGGGCCCGAGGCACTCACACAAGGAAGGACGATGCCCCCAATAGGCTCCAAGAGGCCCGAAGTGCCCCCCAAGAGGCCCCCAAGAGGCCCACGAGGAGGCCGAACGACTCACCCCAGGACGAGGGGCCCCAACGACTCACACCACGAGGAACCCGAACGACTCACGCAGAAGGAGGGGCCCGAGCGACGCACACGCAAGGAGGCGCCCGAACGACTCACACCAGGACGAGGGGCCCGAACGACTCACACTCCCAGGAGCCCGAACGACTCACACACAAGGAGGGGCCCGAACGACGCGCACCAGGACGAGGGGCCCGAAGGACTCACACCACGTGGAGCCCGAACGACTCACACACAATGAGGGGCCCGAGACAATCATACAAGGAAGGACGAGTCCCCCAACAGGCCCCCAAGAGGCCCCAAGAGGCCCCCAAGAGGCCCCCTAAAGGCCCCCAAGAAGCCCCAAGACGCCTCAAGAGGCCCCCAAGAGGCCCCCATGAGACCCCCAAGAGACCCCCAAGAGGCCCCGAGAGCCTCCCAGAGGCCCCCATGAGGCCCCACGAGGAGACAGAACGACTAGCCCCAGGACGAGGGGCCCCAACGACTCACACCACGAGGAGCCCGAACGACTCACACACAAGGAGGGGCCCGAGCGACTCATGCCAGGACGAGGTGCCCCAACGACTCACACCACGAAGTGCCCGAACGACTCACACCAGGACGAAGACCCTGAACCACTCACACCAGAACAAAGGCAATCACTACCATAGCCGGCATCGGAGGAGCCACCGAAGCCAAGGTAACAGGAACCGGCTAAGGAACCACAACCCCGGAAGAGCGAGATTCCAGGGACACGACTGAAACGAAACACACGAAGCAGAGGCGGAGGAGGAGGACTGTGAAGAGGACACATGTTTTGGCATCGAGCGCTGCATCACAAGGTACTGCCACCAATCCACCAACATTGAGTCTAGTCACCAGCATCATCACCTGCCAGGATGCCAAACACCCGCACACAGAACAGTAACCACTGATCATGGTAACCAGTACGAGAAAGCTCAAGTACGGTCTCTGCCATGATGCCATTCACAATCCCCCAGCGAGATGTTTACTTCATTAGCGCTCACCTGACGCGCCACGGAAGCAGAGTAGCGGCACATCCACCATTGGATACATACCGATTCTCCAGCCATACATACAGAAAGGACGGACTCCATTGAGACAACATCCACTCTTCACTCTCACTGTACCCAGAGATATTCTCTTATAGCAGCGTGACATCCATGGTGGTAAGCATGGGCCTCACCAGTACTGGAGGACAGACTATAAACTAAACGTACTCTTCGCACCAATGAACCCACACTGACTACAATAACCAGCCCTTTCACCAGAACAGGATAACAAACACCATCACAGAGTGCAGTATCCAGCACCCGAGAAACCCAGTACGAGCTTCAGCCGACTACAATACAAGTGCCACCAGCAGGCTGTTTCCTACAGTAGAGCCTAAGTGAAGCGTACGGGGTTCAGCTGAGTGTAGTAAACATTCCACCAGCAAGCTGTTACCTAACAGCGAAGACTGATAGGTTTCTAGTGGGATCAAAAGAGAGCAGCAGATCACTCCACAGGGGGGTCCGGGCAGGTGTTGGGAGTTGCCGGGCGGCAGGTGCCGGGCTCGTTTTTCACCAACAGTCACACACTTCGTGCTCTTCGACTTCCCAGAACTCCATTCCCAGGCCACATTCTCAATACCCGGATGCAACAGTCACACACTTCGTGCTCTTCGAGATCCCAGAACGCCATTCCCGGGCCACATTCCCTTTTTTCGTGCTCTTCGAGTTCCCAGAACTCCATTCCCGGGCCACATTCTGGAGCCCGGATGCAACAGTCACACACTTCGTGCTCTTCGAGTTCCCAGAATTCCATTCCCGGGCCACATTTTGGATGCCCGGAGCCAACTGTAGGCCACTT